CATCGCATATGTCTTCGTACATTTTGGGGTGAAAAACTTAGCTTTTTATTGGGTGGTGTGAAAAACTTAGTATGACTTCAGAACGGGGTGAAAATAACTATTTCCTCTTATTAAAATTTCACTAACAACTAACTATATCACCTTTTCCAAAATTAACTATGGTTAACCAAAATAACTCATTTTGAACAAATTATTTCATAAACAATCAAGCCCTGAATTATTTTGAGTATTACTGATAACTTTAGAGGATACCATTACTGTCTTTTGACAATGTTTGTGTCTTGTAAAAATATAGTCGAATAATATTTTTCTCATATTGCACCAAGAGGCAAAAGAACATAAAAACTAAAGTAAAACCAATAATTAAATAAATATATCTTGATTTTGGTTAATTATAAGTGTCATTGTAGCAACGATGTATAATACATATTTGAATTTGAGCTCGTTTAACAAACAAATATAAGGCCTTGTTCGAGTTCTACTCGTTGAAACTCGTGAAAGCTCGAATCGATTTGCTCGTTTAATAAATCAAAAACTCTAAACAATTTGTTCATGAGTAACTCATTTTGAATTACAACGGGTTGATTCAACAATTTTTAGAGGATTAATATACAAAGCTCTTTTTTTTTTTCCTTTATTCTTGTTGATATTATTATTATTATTTTTTTAACAAGAAGATAGAGACTGTATTAACTCAAAGAAAATAGCAAAGTTTGGTTACAACGAGCCACACCCGAATATAAAAATGAGAGGACACGCATCAGCGAACATAATAGTTTGAACTACAAGTATATAAAAGTTCTAATGATTTTCAAAAAGTCTATTATGAAAGTCTTAAAAAGTCTCCAGCGAGAATTCTTTGACGTCTCAAAAAGTCCACAAAAGTCATAAAAGTTTTACAATGACCACAAAATTCACCAAATTCAAAAAAATTTAAGAAGTCTAAGAATCTCAATTGAGTACACCCAAAGTTGCATTAAATTCAACTGAAAAAGAAGGTACACAATGCTCTGTGCATGATGGTGTACTAATATTTTGCAACTTATAGACCTATGTAAACCCTTTGCTCAGTTCACTGTTTCATTTTTTAGCATACAAAAGAGGTGAACAGCTCAATGTGCATTAATTCTAACAAACCTCCATGGATTCTGTTGTAAGCCCAAAACCAAAGGGGAACAACGGATCGTAGTCCTCATCGCCAATGTTCATCGGGAGTTGGTCGACGGTCTTAAACCAAGTACGAGGCAGTTTCCCGCTAAAACCATAGTCACCAAACAAAACATCAGCCACCCCTTGGCCTTCGGTCCCCGGTAGCCAAGCCGCCACAAGGGCATCAATTTGTGATAGATACGGCTGAATCACAACCGGACGGCCTGTGATTAAAACGACCACACATTTTACAGAGGCACACACATTTGTGATTGTAGTATAACTCGATTCGGGCAGGGTCAAGTTAGTGCTATCTCCAGATCCTTCCGCATACGGCTTTTCTCCCACCACAACAATGGCATAAGAGAAGTTTCCCGAGTTCACATATCCAGCCTCCGGTTTTTCCACATGAACAACTTTGGTTTCTTGATCTATTGTGTTCTTTATGGCCGTGAGGATAGTTGTACCTTACAATGCAAGACTCTTTGAGGCATGATTTCAGCTATATACAAAAATTGCAATCTTTTATACTTGAAAATTAATTACCAGTTGTGATGTTGCCACTTTTGCCCTGCCACTCAATAGTCCAACCCCCACACTGGTATCCGATGTTGTTAGCATGGGTGCCCGCTACAAGCACTTTCGATGTTTTCTTGACGAGGGGTATAATTGGGCCGTCACCAGATTTCCCATTCTTTAGCAACACAAGCGATTTTCGAACTGCTTCCCTTGCCAGCTCCCTATTCTCCTATTTATCGGAGTGTGCACGAAAATTTGAAACTTCTTTCATGGATATATCTATGGGGCTAAAATGAATCTACCAAACTGACCTTGCTGCCCAAGTGCCCGGTCAAGCTATAATCAGCTAGTGGGTTTTCGAAAAGACCCATTGTGAACTTAACTCTTAGTATCCTTTTCACGGCATCATTAATCCGGCTCATGGGGATGAAGTTATGTTGGACCAAGAAAGTTAGGCCATTGATGAACTCCGTGTAATTGAATGGGACCATAATCTGCAGAGGGTAGTTGGAAAAAGAAGCAGATGGTCGTGTTAAATTGAGATGACTCAAGTTAACACAGTTAATCGAAAGGCTCCATTAAAGCAAATAGTAATCGATCATATACGATAGGCTAACCATGTCTATGCCAGCACCAACTCCAGCTAGAATTGAATATGTGTAGTTGGCATGACTTGGAGAAGTTATTTGGTCAATGCCCTCATAATCTGATATGACAAATCCCTAACAAAATACAGTGTGAAGAAATATTAGTTGATAGGTCAAAATCAAAGACATTATACCACATGAAGAGTATTTGTTAGTATAGGACATACTGAAGTTCTATGCAATTAAGGTAATATAATTAATAGGGTATAATATATCCAAAAATTTATAACAAGAGACTCGATTTACATACTCTGAAACGCAGCGTATGCTTGAGAAAACCAGTGATAAAATCACGATTCGCATGCATTTTAATCCCGTTCAAGCTGGAATACGAGACCATAATAGTTGACACGCCCTTGATGATTGAATCATCATAGGCCGTCATATGAATACTAAGCAAACTGTGAAAGCTGGTCATTGTGTTGTTCGAGTTAATGCCTCTGATCGTCCCACCATCACCGACGTAGTGTTTGGCACAAGCCGCTACCTTGTCTCTGCAGAAAATGTGTACGCTTTAGTCATAATTTAACGAAAAAATAAAGATTATATGTAATTAGAAATATTGAGGCTAGAACCCACTGTCCTCCAACATAAGGGACTCCTTTACGAGAATTAGCCGGTATATCTCCTTGCAATCCTGGTATGATCTCGGTCATGGCTTTTACAACCGTTGGATCTTCACTGTAGCTCTCGTAACACCTGCCCCATCTCGGGTCCCTGCAGACCTGATCATGTAACACAACACATGAAAGATTAAACTATTTTCTTTCCCAGAAAAGAGAGTCTTGTACGATTTTTAATAAGTTGTGGCTAAACAGACTAGGCTTGTTACCGCAATGCAAGGTGCAAACGTGTAAGGTATTCCGGTTGCTCTAAGTTCAAGCGCAGTAGCAGCTCCGATTTTCTTCACCAATTCAGGGTTTCTGTTTAAAAGACTGGACATCATTTATTTTCCTTAGGAAAAATATCGAACTACTATTGTCGATCACGAATAGATAGCACACACAACACGTTCAGAGTACAATGGTTAAGCACATCGATTAGCATTAACAAGTCATGATCATTGGAAGCCACAGGACTAAATTTACTTGCCTAGTAGCTCCAAGACCGACATTATGGGGGAAAATTGTGGCCTTGTAAACAGTATTTTGGCCATGAACTGCATCAATCCCATATATCATAGGTATGCCGAGACGGGTCGCCAACGACCCTTTCTGAAACTCGTTCACCATATCCACCCACCTCTCGGGAGACGCCTGGGGCCCGGGCCCGCTTCCTCCACCACTCAGCACACTCCCTGCTTATCCACACACACAAAATAGCCCTTTTGTCAGTGCATGAGAGAATACAAATTGCTAATTGCATACATATTTCAAGAACTTTGGGGAGTCAGACGATGATTGTGGACCTATATGGTACTTCTTCATGACCTCAGCCGATGCCACTGTTCGTTCTATCTGCACCATCTGGCCTATCTTCTCCTCCAAGCTCATTCTTCTCATCAGGTCCTTTATTCTTTGATTTATCGGCTTTTTCGGGTCTCTGTAGAGTCTGTAATCTGCATCAGCAAAAGCTTCTAACAAACAGAAGATCACAAGCCCGGTTACAAATGCCGGGCCTTTCGCCATTTTTCGGCCTGATGCTGCTGCCTGTGTTGAGAAAGATGAAAAATGTTATTTCTTTGTAAGTGTGTTGAATTTCTGATAACAGCTGAATCAGAGAGAGAGAGAGAGAGAGAGAGAGAGAGAGAGGTGTTGAAGATTTTGCAAAACAGATTATGAAGCATTAGCAAGATAAGTTATTGGTAAGATGAAGCAAGCTGTCTTTAAGGCCTTTCCTTTTCTGGTAACGGATAGTTGGGAATTGGGATGTCTTTGTAGTTTGTTGTTTTGTTCCCAGTTAGGCACATCACATGTGGGTTGATTTCACCCTGCCCCCACCTGCTTTTTCCTCCTAATTTGTGCAGAAATCAAGGGTGAGAATATCAATTAATAATAATCATAAATAATTAATTATTGTTCGGTTAAAAATTCAAATATTAATTATTTATTGCGATTAACCGAAAATTAAAACGAACCGATCGCTGGATTTTTGGTTATAAACCGAACCAAACCGTAAATTTCAGTTTGACTTTTGGTTATGATAATGGACAGATTAACCGAAATTTCGGTCGGTTCGGTTCAGTTTCGACGGAATGAGCAGACCTACTCTCAGTTACACGATAAATATACATCTCCTCCCAAAAGTTCATTTTTTTTCCTCTCAATTTCTATCAAACGTGAGTAAAGAAAATCTCATAGAATAGAAACAACAATATTCATCAAGCTACTATCAGTTCAAGGAAGAGTACAAATACTTGAGGCTCTTTTCCCATCAATTTCAGGTAAATATCATCGCCCTTTTATTTTTTCTTCTAATCATCAGTACAACTTCATCTTTACCCAAATAGTTATATCTTCATAGCCGATGAAAATAGCTATTTTCACACAAACATATATATATATATAAAAATACAACAGAAAGATTACATGTCAATGCAGAGGTTTCACTAGTAAATTACATGTAGTAGCAGAAAGCATATATCCAACTCCCAACTAATAATACACAACTATTCACTAGTAAATTGACCCTACAGCATCCGGTCCGCAAGTGACGGCAGCCTCCGAAAAAAATTAACAGCCGGCGACGGCATCCGGTCCCTGAAAATCGGGTGCCTAAGGTAATAAAAGCCGACCGCCACCGCCACCATCTTGGGCGGCACCAGGTACAGCACAAACGCCACTATGAGACACAGCCCCACAAATATCCCCGTGGCCCGTGGGTCCCGCCACGCCACAAGCGCCTGCACCCGCTCCCCCTGCGTCGCCAGGTCCCCCAACAGAACCTGCGCCCGTGCCCCCAGCACCCTCAGCTTATTGTACCTCACACGCACCTCGCTCGGGCCCACGCAGTCAAACTCCTCGTCCAGCTCCTCGCGTTCGACAGACTCGGCCAGGGACAGCTTCGGGTCGAAATGCGGCAACGCGGACTTGGGGCGAAACCTGTAGTTCCACGCGCCCACCGCAAACACGTAGAAGGCGAGGGTGGGCACGATGAGGTCCGGGAACCAGACGAGCATCACGAGGAGGGCGTGAACGAGCACCGTGGCTGTTGGGTTCCTCCACGAGCGCGTCTCATCCACCCACTTGAACAGCTCGATCACGCCGGCTATCACGTTGATTATTCTGAACCAATTAGCTCGGACCTTGCGCATGCTGAAAGTGTTGGAGTCGGAGTCGAGCATGTGGGCCACCACCTCAGGCCGGAGGGGTGGCTCCGAACGGGACAGGCGGGCGGAAACAATCCTCACGGCCGCCGACCTCAGGACGTCCTGCTGTGCGAGTGGCCTCAGGTGGTGCATCGCTGGCAGCAGGGGCTGGGAGTAGATGTGCAGGAGGTCGAGGGTGGGGCCCGCACGTGTGAATCTGACTGCCAACTCAATCTCCCCCATTTTCTTGAGTCCTGCCCGGGACAGGAGCAGTAACGGGAATGTGCTCCGGTATGCGCGCCCTGTGGTCAGTGTTGATATTCGGATGCGCACTTTCCCGAGACGTGAGTCGGGCCGGGTGGCTTCCATCAGCCCGTCGGGCTCCCAGCTGTCGAACACGCCTAGGGTGAGGACGGTGGACGGGTCGTACACCCTCCATGTGTATTGTTCGTTCCACCTCGGGTCTAGGTTGTCGGAGATGGTGCGCGTGCGCACCCACTTGCTGCCATATTTGGCGACAGCATACGTGTCAGCAGACCCCTTCCCTCCGGATGTTGTCTTTGTCGGGATGAGGTTCCGGCACCCAATGATTCCGAGCTCGAAGGTCCCGACTGGGGGTTTCCAGAGCTGGCGGGCGGTCGGGCGGTAGTCACTGCACACATGGGCCCCCTCTTCCATCACGTGGTAACCCCCATCGAAGCAAAGCCGCAGCTGGACCCTACCTCTGTAGGTAGGCTTCTCCACGCTGGGGTCTTCCATGGTGCACCACCGTGGGGCCACTGTCCGGTCGTCCACGCGCCGTTCGATAGACATTAATGGAACCTTGGCGACGCCCACCACAAGCGGCTCTTTCGATGGCCTGTTTTCGAGCAGGAAGAATGTGATGCTGTGCTCAGTGAATGGCTCGGCCGCCACAAACATTAGATCCTCATTCCAAGTGGGGGCACCCGTGCTGGAGACAGCCGGTTTGGTCCTCTGGACTTGAAACCCCAACTGGGCCTTAATTTGGTAGGACGATTGTTTGAGGGGCATTGGCATCGGTGTGGGTAGGTCTTGGGCCTCAACGACGGACGATCGAAGGTACCACAGCTTGGGCGACTGGTACACCTTGGATCTGGAGGTCGGGCTGTTGCTTGCATCGGCCTTCCATGCATCCGGGAACGACTCGTCTGCCTGGGTCCCGACCCACGCGGCCAGCATCAGGTCTCCCCGGTGGGCCCCACCACCCTCCAGCCGGTACCACTGAGGGGCCAGGGAGCTGTCCGGCGGGTCCCGCAGGGGAATCTCGCCCGCGTCGAAGCAGATCCCTCCCAGGAAGCCGCCACCGGCTTCCGGGTCCCACACTGATACTTCTAGCACGTCTGACGAGTCCCCGCGGGCAAAGGCAAATGTCTGTTCCCACTCGAAGGCAGCCACCCGGCGGGCTGGCCGAGAGACGACGTGGCGGCCGGAGACAGCAATCTTGACCACGGGGGAGCCGGCAGTCGGTAGGGAGCGGGCCTTGACGACTCGGACGAAGATGTAGTGCATCTTGTCCACAAGGTCGAACGAGGACCGCTCCATGGTCGATCTATCCGATAGATCCGACACTAAGCTGCTGACGGACGAAACTCGGCTGATTGGCTGCGGCGCATTCAGGCTGTTGACTTTGACTTCCGGGACTAACCCCGGCGACACGTGTGCCTTCAGCTGATCGGAATTTTGATCCGGTGGAGGGGTCTCTTCCTCTGCGGCTGGTGAACTGGCCTTTTCAGCTGGTGGATTCTCAGCTGGTGGATCCTCGGTTGGTGGATCCTCGGCCGGTTTCTCGCAGTCGGGCTGTGGCTCAGCCTCCGGTGTTTCACTGTTTTTAGCTTCTGCATCAGGGGCATTGGCCGCCGGCGGAGGCGGAGGCTCGGAAGTCTCCGGCGCCGGATCGACCTTGAGTTCGGTTGGTGGGGGGACTATCTCGTCCTGGAAGTAAATCTTGAGGCCAATCTCACCCTGTATCCAGCTCAGCAAATTCTTCTTCTCGAGGGGGTAATAGATCAAGGCCTCCTCGCCTTTCCTGACAAACTGACCGGAGCTCAGCCTGACCCGGCCGAGAAAGTTGTTGCGGGTGGTCGGCCCGACTTTCACGTCGTGGAGAACATCGAGCTCCAGCATGTCCCCAAACACGTCCGACGTCTTGTCCGCGTTGAACTCCAGAGTCTCGTTCCAGGTCGGGTTGAGGTCGCGGACCACGGTCCTCGTTTTCCTCCTTTGTCCGTGGAAATCGAGGATCACGTACGGGCTGGAGGCCCCATGGCCGTCCTTGGGCACAAGGTTCCGAGCATCAACTACTTCGACTATAAGCTTACGTACATTGCCCATCTCAACTTCGTTTTTTCTTTTTGCCTTTTCAACTAGAATTTGAGGAGTAAATTGGTTTGATGTGTACTCGCATTGTATGATTATAGAAAAAGAGAGGGAAAGGAAAAAAAGAGACTGTTTACTCGGCTAAGTAACAGAGTGTGTATTGAGATTTGAGATGAGTGGAGTTGTAAGTGGGGAAGGTGGGATTAAAGTGAGGAGAAAAAGTGCATGACAATAATTCATGTGCGACGAGTCTTTACGCTACTTGGGAATTGGCCAAACCGAGTATTTATTTTATTTATTTATTTATTTTTTTGGTATTGCTTTTTCTCTGTAAGCATAATAATTATTATCTTTGAAATATTTCCTCCTTTTTCTTTTTTCTATCTCGTTAATGTTTTTCCTAATTAAAAACAAAGCAATGTAGTGGTACTAGCCTGGAAGATGCTACGATCCCGTTACAGAATCATTCTGTCGGAATTTGTAGCTGTTAGATTAACTATCTCCGACGGTTACATGATGATCTAACAGTTATAAATCCTGAAGGAATGATCCCGTAACGGGACCATAGCATTTTCCAGCAATGCTGAAACCAGGTTCAGTTCCAACTATAGTATGTCCGTATGTATGTGTGGTTGGGTTTTGCACCTTTGGTCTGGGTTAATTTCAATTTCAAGTATTGATATCGTTTTTGGCTTGCCCAAAAGAACTGGTTTAGTATTCATTTTTTTTTTTTTTTATCTATTTTTTATTGCAACACTGAGTAGTTGAGGGTCTAAATCAGTTGCCATCTATTAAACGATCTATGATAACCCAGGTTGGCTTGTATGGAGGATAACTAAAATTCACTAAGACCAGACCTGAAATTTGTATGACGTAGATTTAATTAGATTAGCAAATCTTTGGTCGTATATATGTTTCGTAGTCGTATGTATTAGTACACGTCATAGAGAACTGAGTAAGACCAACTCCATTGCAGCGTTGGAGTTGCGTAAAACGCTATAAATCTAGCGTAAATTCACTCTAACACGGCACAATTTTTTCACG